GGATTGAAAAATTAACAGCAATGAAACAGGCATGCATTGCAGGTAAAGTTAGATATTAGGACAATCTGTTTAAATCTAGCTCATGATGTTTTACCCTGGTGAATATGATTCAACCATATATGATTAAAAAATATATATTATGTGTTACTACTGCAATGCAACATTTGTCCTACCATAACCCTAACCCATGGTCCGTCTTCATACAGTGAAATGATTTGAACACAGGGCTTTTTTTAAGAACTTGTCTGGGGGGTGGGCATCTACAAAAAGGGACCATACTATACTGAGTGTGGAGAGATGACAGATGGTTGTTGGTGACAAAAAGTTTGGTGTGGTATTGTATGTATTAGTAGGGGGGTCTGGGGAAAATTGTTTTGTATTTTTCCCCAGGACTGAAATGTGAGCATTTTCTGAAACAGATTTTTGGATATACAGCGTTACATTGTGCTTTGATAGACCGAATCTGATCAGTTAAGTGTACTTGCATGGTATGTTTATGTAAATACCACAGCTGGGTCACTCAGGGGGTAGGAAGCTTGTTAAACTTAGTGGGCACCACTCCCACAAGGCACTACCATGGTTGGCACAGAGCAGGGAAATTTTGAGTCTCCAGATCATTGGAAATGGCATTTTCAGAGTCTTCTTTTTTGCTATTTGTGATTATAGAAACCAGAACTCTAGACATGGTATTTAAGTTCAAAAACTTTTTTACCCCCCCCCCCCTTTCTCTGTGTTAAAACTTTGTTTGGGTAAAACTTTGTTTGCCCCCCCTCCCATTTACCACCCCTCAATAAATAATGACCACTCCCTAAGTAGCATGTTATTGTTGGGATCTCAGATCAATTTAATAAATATATAAATAGACATCTTCTTGTTTTATTGTTGCATCAATTTTAATTGGAAAAAATACTCACAAAGTAGATCAAGTGTATGGATAAATTATTCATTTACTAAAGTACATTTTTACAGTTATTTATGCGACCTTGTATCCAGAGTCCTTCCTCTTGGGGAGAAAAGACCCCGGTAGATGCTGGTCACGTGATCTGCTAAAATCTAGCAGATTTCTAATTAACTATCTTGAATTCCTTTATGACAATCATATACAAAATGCAAATTATAAATTAACATATAAAAATCATCCAAATATCAAATATTTATTGACCTCATCTTGGATTGCTTATTAAAAATCTGCTAGATTTTAGCAGATCATGTGACCAGCATCTACCAGGGTCTTTTCTCCCCTGGGTACGAGGTTGTTATTTATGTACTTAGTCTTATTTGCATGAGTGTACATGACAGATTGTTTTAATTAGGTATACCCAGTTGTATCATTTATAACATATGGTTTGTTTAAAAATGCTGGAAAAAACAAAAAAGTTAGCCAATTGAAATAAATGCACTAATAACTTGCTAAACATAGCTAATTGCTATTTATTATATAAATCCATCATGCTTTTTCCTACCACTTGAGTCTCCACTCACCAGGTTTCATTATGAAAATTTTTGGATTAAATCATGGGCGGATTTACTGGGGGGGAGGTTAGGAGGGGTTAACCCCCCTTAGAATCTCTCTAACCCCTCTTAGAAAGTGTTCAACCCCACAAAAAGTTTGCTTCAAAAGTCTTTAACCCTAATGCAAAACCCCTGTAAAAAGCTCACTCATTGGTGCTGCTTGCTCCTCCCCCTGAAAGGTTTCCACCCCTCCTTTAAAAAAAAAATCAACCCTTTTTAATTAAAAAAGTCAACCCTATACTTGATACACTGAACATAGACAATAGACATCCACGACATGGGCAGCAATTCGTGGGTGCAAATACTTGCATAGTTGAAAAGCAATATAACCAACATGTTGTCATCCAGTTCCATAGTCTAGTAGTCAATAGGCAATTCCAGCTTTTAATTTATGTATGCAGGGGGCAACAGGAAGTAAGGTATCATATTGCTGATTATGTTGAAAAATTTTAATAAAATAAACTAAAAGCTGGAATTGCCTATTGCACTTGGGTCCCTTGGATTCAATGGTGCTGGCCATATTCATACATTCACTGTTTTATCTTGTTCACGAAGAGTGAGGTATTATGTCTTAATTTAATTTTCCAAATGATGTTGGAATTTTTTTCTCACGAGCATCACCGATCCACTTGAATGCTACAGCGTGGGCGATTTCCTCCTCATCACTTTCATCTTCTCACTTAAACGTCATCACTTTCTGCCCTATCACCTTGATCACCTCTTTCATTATCATATCCATCCTGAACAGGCTCAAGACCAATCAACCACTCAAGTAAATCTCTCTCTACAAAATCATAACAAGAAAATTATTATTTGATACATTATCATCTCTAAAATTAGCAAACATGTAACCTCTAAAATTATATTCTCGCAACCATCCACAACTAGATACAAACAGGCATCATACTCAGCAAAATGTATAAAACAATACATACAAATAACTGAATAACAATATACCTTCAGACTCATCTGAGAACCAATGTATAAACTATATACAGTGCACATATATGTAAAAATCTATCCATACAAACAGGTATCATACTTCAGCAAAAATTTATTAAACAATTCTTTAACTCAAAACATGTACATATGTATCACAGTGACACAGTACATATACACACTGAATAGGGCCAAATTAGAGGCATTATAAACACAAGTATGACGCCATAATTTTGTACAGTGTATTTATAAAATTACAGTACAAGAATAAAAACAACAAAGCGGAAATTTGACTATAAAATAACACGATAACTGTAATGCATTGTAGTATACCAACCTTAAATACTGCGCTTGTTTTCACGTTGATGATACACGGAGATTTAACGCCATCCAACTTAGAAAGAAGAGCCTCGCTATTGGGAATATAAAATTAAACACAATTCCTTTTCTCAGACGGATTATTTATAAAGCTAAAATGACAGCACGTCCCATGCAATTTACAGTAAATTAAAAAAGGTAAACTTGATATAGTAAAACACAAGTCATAATGATGATCGCAACAATACAGCAATAACATGCTGTTTCTTTTCACAAAGTCTCGCAGCCTGACACTCTTGTCGTTCGAAAGCTTCCATATTGCTTTAGTCAGAGAGATGTTCACTCCTCGACAGTCAGCAGTCAATGAAGCCACGCGCGGAATTAGGCGCTCAATACCCATGATGCTTTGCGGCCTACTGTCCAACCTCCTCTGGCACCGTCCCTATCAGACAAATTTAGTTAGGCTATCATGCATATGATTTGCCACGGTGAGATAAAATGGACGAATAAATATCATCTATAAAAAGACAGGAATATCGTGTGCCGGAAGAGTTTTTCGTCGGACAAAATTCTGATCAGCTAGACTATAATGTACGCTATAATATATGCGTTGACGCGTAGACTGATTGTGTGTTGATAGCAGAATGTTGACAGCAGAATTTCTATAGAAAGGTTAGAAAAATAGATTCACACTAGAAAGGTTAACAAGAATTAACTAGGCATATCAAAATTTACATCAGATTCTCAATTCTCCCCCCAAAACTGCACACGTTAATTGTCCGCTCGTTGCACCGCCGTATTCTAGCTCCTTGGCTAAAATGAAAAAAATTTAGACGCCACAGAGAAATTGTCGTCTAAAGATCAGAATTTTTCTGGAATGCTATAAGTAATTATGACGTTAAGTTTAATACGTCATTGATAATTTATATATAGCTCATGCCAAAACTATTAAAGGCCTTGAATGTTATTCGTCGCAAATGCGCGACACAGAAAAAAGGTGCCACTAGTTAAGAGGCTGTGTCAGTAAAAACCACCCGGTGGATTCTGACTCAAAAATAGATTTTCATCATACTTAAATATAACCTTAGGAACAACTAATATCAAAAACGTTTCTTTTAAAATTCTTTCAATTTCAAAAGCCATTTGACTGGAAAATATGGACATATATTGTCATAACTACTAAAAATATATACGTGCTTAAATGATAACATTTTTACACGAAAGTATAGCTTTACCCTTCTGGTTTGTATTTTGGCAGCAACAGGTATGTTCCGTCAACCCTCATGCACAAGGTGCGTGATCGTCCCAAAATACATAAACTTTAAGACCTCATTTCAATATCGTGGCATCTGAAATTTACTTTAAATTAAATGTTTTATATTTCTGTACCACTCCATAAGGTATTATATCTTTAGTCAATACAAAACGCAACTGATTTCGGCACTACTTTTTGAAAACGCTCGTTGTTGGCTAAAGAAAGATTTTGTTGTCATGAAAGACTATAGACAATTTGCTAACAACATTCTGCCGAAACTGATGCAAAGTAAGCAATTTTAGCACTTAATAACATCGAGTACGTTATGCAGAAGTATAAAACATTTAAAGATCAGGTATCACGATTTTGAAATAATCTTTTAAAGTTTATATATTTTGAGACAATCATGCGTGCACCTTGTGCATGAGGGTTACTGGAACATACTTGTTGCTGCCAAAATACAAAATAACATGCTTATCTTTGTATCTGATTAGCAGACAAACTAGAAGGATAAAGCTATATGTTGACAATATGTCCATATTTTCCAATCAGACGGCTTTCGAAATTGACCTTCGACGGGGTGAATATTTATCGGCCGCAAAAAAAATTGAAAGAATTTTAAAGGAAACTAATTTGATATTAGTTGTTCCTAAGGTCAGACCTTCAAAATATTTAAGTATGGGGGAAATCTATTTTTGAGTTAGAATCAACCGGATGGTTTTTACTGACACAGCCTCTTAAAGTCTTAAAAGGCCATTAAATTGTTTTGGTAATTAAAAAAAAAATGCAAAGGAACCTATATGCTCTATATTATAATATCATTATATAATATAATATAATATAATATAATATAATATAATATAATATAATATATTATAATATAGCATTTGTAAATTCTGAACGCTGATTGGCTAAGAGCCGTGTTGATATAACTCCATGTCAACACGGGAAATTTTCCGCCGCTTGTAGAAGTTGAAGTGGTGGTATTTTAACTAGACCAGATACAACTTCGAAAAACATATATATATATATATATATATATATATATATATATATATATATATATATATATATATATATATATAGCTTAAGATTTTGGTTTACGAAACACAAACACTGCTCAATACCACCTGACCTGATGATTCCCATACGGATGAAACAGACTGTTGTGGTTCTTTGAGGTAAAACGAAAAACTATCTATATATATATATATATATATATATATATATATATATATATATATATATATATATATATATATATATATATATATATATTATATATATATATATATATATATATATATATATATATATATATATATATATATATTTATATCTTAAAATTAATTTTTGCTACTCAAGTTTCACGCCTTATTCAAGACGATCTTCAGGCAATTAATTCAGTTAGTGTTAGTGAAACACTATACTATAATACTACTATAATACTAGTGTTGAGAACTTTATTATCTACTACAACAAAACAAGTTATATATATATATATATATATATATATATATATATATATATATATATATATATATATATATATATATATATATATATATATATAATTATTTTTACCATAGGCATTAATGCATTTTAATCCTTCGACAAAGACTGTCTCCTAATTGACTAAACTCTATCTCGCAAAACGATTGGTTCTCAGAAGCAGGATGTATAGTAAAACCAATTTAGAGCGTAACAATCAGAATATAATAGTATTGTTAGAAAACTCATTTACCTACTACACGCATGATCTGACAATAAGGAAAAATAGTTAAACAAGAGTTTATTTCGCGAAAAAACTTCCATAAATCATTATTATTCATTTTATTATATTTTGTTTACATACTGCTGTCTCAACCTATACACGGCTAAATCGTTTGGGCGCGCCATTTCCATATATTTATAGCTGTATAAGTTATTGGACAATCAAAATCTTAGTTACGTACTGATATATTGTGTAAAAAAATAAAAATAGTAATTAATATATGCTATGTTTGTAATCTAATTCCAGAATGTATACGCATCAATGACGATGAAATTTGCGGATGCCCTCCATGTAAGTATAAACTGTATGATATTGTTTTAATACAATTAAAATATATAAATTTTTTATTTAATTTTTCTTTTGCGCAAAATTTAAGATAACAACAGTGCCATGCACCACCATTCAATGATTATTCCTTGTGCATGTCGCCGTTGTTTTGGTCGTAATTAATTAGTAATGTCCTCCATACAACAGTTCATATACCATGAATTCATCTACCCATTAGGGTGGATTAATTTCTACTTTAAAGTTTTACAAAATTTGCTTTGTTTACAGAAGTTATATTATGCGTAGATTGCTAATTTGTCCTCCAGATGCATCGTCACCGGCGATGTGACGTCATTTGCAAAGGGTCTATAGTAGATCAGATATGATACATTTAAAAAATTTTAACCTTCTTCTTCGAGGTTCCCAAATAAAACAACTTTGAGTTTTATCTTTAAAATAATCGAGAAATACAAACATGCATTTACTGATTTATATACATGTATGTGTTTCATAACTTCTTGGACTCAGTTTGTAATGCCAATACGTGCACCATATATCCATTCTGCTATATATTTTATACCTTGTACCCTGGCGCTATTTTATATGGAGAGGAAGAATAACTTAATTATTATCACTGGAAGCATCAAGAAACAAATGTATCTGTCCCCATACAAAAAAAACAAAATAATAGTTAAAATTACAAATATTTCAATTTATGACACAACCATAAAAAAGCAATGCTCTAAAAACAGGTGGGAAATTTGTTTATGTTGACAATTCTTTGATGTTCTTCGAAAACAGTGTACTTTGTTTCATTGGTCGATATGTGTCTGTTCAAACAAATAACCTACGAACGTACTATATATAATAAATTAAATGTTTTTGCTTTTTGAAAGTAACCATGGAATCTTTCTCTGTCGTGAAGTAAACATTGGAGTAAATGTATTTTGCTTCAAGAATTTATTGTTTTTAATACAATTGAAAGTCATACTCGCTTTTGTTTAAATTCAAAGCAAGTTGCAATCAATTTCATAGTTCTTAGGTTGCATGCGAAAATAAATTCTCCACCTGTTAATGCCCAGCACACACACGTCATTTACCGTCAAGATCGGCCCTTACTTGAAAAATATTTTCTGGACTAATTTCCCTTTCTGGATAAAACCCCATGTGTATAGCTCTTTCTCCATCGTTTTTTTATAAACGTCTAAGAACTCGATCTTTCTTTACCTTACTGTGCAATAGATCAAGGAACCCACCACATTCGAGGGTCTATCAATGCAAGTTTCACAAGGGATACGTCAAAAAACAGTACCGTAACCATGTTTTTAAATTGGAACGACGTTACTTGGAAAAATTCGATCAATATCACATATTTTAAAGTTCAGTTAAGAAAAGGCACGCCAAATGCAATAATCTGCGAAGATTATGTCAACGCCTCCTACAATGTAAGTGATTGGCTATATATACACTGCCTTATCGATGTTAAATGCTGTTCCCTTTCTAATTAATTAGGAGAGCATGATCACTCTGCCTTATATATAAGGTGCTTAAAAAACGAACAATCTTATGAGTTCATTGGCGCAGTGATTTTAAAAATTACATTGTCTAAGACGAGAAAATCAAAGAATCAACGGCAGATCCACCGTGGGATATTATAATATCTCACGCGTGACGCGTGGACACCACGCTCTGGAACAATATGGCGTTCGTGAGCTGTTGTTTCTAATTTCGTACAGAAGATTTATTGATTTAACCAAAGATTATCAAGGCGTATGTTACCTCCAATTAACCATAGGATACATGCTGAATTATTTTAAAGAGAAAACGTCAAAAACCCAGGTATACATAAGGAATAAAAATTGTATTTGCTTAGTTAATATTCAGCAAGTTTTAAAGTTTATTCTGAACATAAGTGAGTTAGTGGTGGGTTCGTCGGTATAAAAGCCCCTCGGGAAATATCATCACTGGGAGTAACATTTCGACGAATCCGCCGAGCACAGGTTCTATAAATGATAAATATATTATATAATATATTATATGTTATATAATATATTAAATACTATTTTAAATATAATATTTTATATTTTTATTGTGGATTGTCTGAAAGTCATTTGCTGGGCTTTAATTGTCATTTTTAATTTACGCTTTCCATCCGGTGTATCAATCGCCACTATTTCCATCCAAATTTAGCTACAAGATCACATCTATCATGAGATGATGCGTAAATTTCAGTGTCATCAGCATATAAGGAAGAGCTAGTATTTTAAGGCATTTAGAAAAATTATCTATACATTATTTTAAAAATGCGTACGCAGTAGCGTACATGGCGATTACGGGATCAAAAACAAAGAATGTCAATGCCGTCCGGCTTATATTTACATTTGCGGCTTTCGAGTGGGAAAGATTCAAATATCCCGGTAAGTATTTACCCGCCATTCAAAACGAAAACCACCGTTCAAATCCTCATAAAATAACCTTTCAAACGGTGGTGAAATGCCGTCATAACATTACACAAACCAAAACAATCGTATATTTACTCACCGCTTGGCCAAACATTCTGTACTTCATATGGAGAAAAAATTGAATACCTTCTGAACTCTTCAGACTAAGTCAATAGGAGTGAAATACTCCTTGTATTCAAGGCTTTCGTGTAGAAAGTTTCGTTTGAATACGGCGGACTAGAAATATTTATTTTGAATTTCTCAGAATATCGGGTTGTTACTCGTACGCGCGTGCCACACGCTAAAATTGGCCAATAATGAGCACCGTAGCCCTCGATGCACGTGCAAATCACGCTACATGAAGGGGTAAGTTGACCTTTACAATCGATTTCCGACGTTTCCCGAGTGCCAGGATGTAAACATCGCATTGTTTCAATATATGTCAAGCTGTATTTCCGGTCCAAGATCTCTCGTAAAATTTAGATATATCTGAAATACCAAAATAAAAGTTGCAACTGTGGATACAAACTTGAAAATAACACTCTAAATAGTGTCTTGGATTGTAATTTGAACAAGAATATTGCGAAAAAGATAGGTGAAAGGAGCCAAAAAGTTATTTTCGGCGAAAGGTATGGCTTAGTGATACACTGTCGTATATTATAGATATGGTATGGCTAGTTTACATTGTTCGAGTATGGCTAATTTATATTTTATGGCTATTTTGCATCGTTTTCGAGTATATAGCATCTTTCAAGCGGAATTTTTTGGTGATATTTTCGTATTTCTACTGCAAATACTGACGGAGTTCTTTATAATAACGTCGGAAATCTCAAGGCCGGACGGCATTGATAAAACCATTTATCGTAAACAGTTCGGAAACTATCGTAGATGCGCGGGCTTTAACCTAACCAAGAGCCTTTTCGCAGGAGAAGTGAACCGTCCTCTCTATATAACGATATAACTAAACCTCTTGTCGACAGCATATGGCGACTACTGTTCCAGTAGAGCCAAAAATAGAAAGAGCAGAGATCCAGGAATAGAGCCTTGAGGAAATTCACAAATTTACCATGCATTGTTGTTGTCTATTCTGTAAATAAGAACGAAACCACTTTAATTCATTAGCAGTTTCTACTCATTTTCTTTATCAATATTGCATGATTTATGGAATCAAAGGCTTTGCGTATGTCTAGAAAAACAACACAATTTATTTTTCTCATTTCGTCCGTATTATTTAGCCAATCATCACAAATTTGTATAATAGCCGATAAGCTAGTCTGAGAGTGCTTAGGGCGAAATCCAGATTGATATTTGGAAAGAAGAGAACGCGCATGCATGGTGTTTACTCAAGTAACTATATATATACACTAGACGGAAGACAACACTGTCCTTTCGTGCTTGCAATTTGCGGGTTCTAGTAGTGTATATTACAATACTATTTTGAAGCCAAAGCAAGTTCTATGCCTCGAGTATTTATATCTCAAACATGAAGTGCTTTGTGTTCTACCTACTGGCTATGGAAAGTCTCTAGTTTTTCATCTTCCTCCTGCGTTGATGTTTGCGAAGGCGATATTAGAAGAGTATGGATATGTCTATGGCAACAACTATTGTCTGATAAGCAATCTGATTGCTCGTCTGTGCTCAAGTGGTATTCGAGCCTCTGTTCTTGGTGTGAGAAACGTAGTTGATGAAGACACGGAAAACTCGTTTGACTGTGATTTTCGTCTTTGCGAGAAAGGAAAACTACACAGTGGTTACTATCACATCGTCTTCTCGCAGCCAGAGTCGTTCATTTCTTGCAAATACGGACGAGAGGTACTGAAGAACAAGACATATCAGGGTAATATATGCGCAATTGTAGTCGACGAAGCTCACTGTATATTAGAATGGTAAGTAAGTCTGAATTTTTTTTTAAGTTTTATTTTGTCGATTGTATTCTAAAAAATACATTATGTCATCAAAGTTCATTTATGAAATGTGATGTGGTATATCCATTAATTTATATGCCTTTGGTTTTGTTTATTTATAGGAGTAGTGATTTCAGAACTGATTACAGTAAGCTGGGAGTTCTACAATGTAGCGGTATGTGCCATATTTCCTGAAGTACCGATACTTGCCATATCAGCAACTGAAAACCTGCAAGACCAAGAGTACATCAAGGACTCACTGTGCTTACAAAGCTGTGGGAACGTTGTTAGAAATCCTGACAGAACGAACATTTATTATGAAAAATTTTTTCGTCGTGGGCAAGAAATCGATTCAGTGGAAAGTATTCTTTATCCAATTGGTAAAGGTTTGTTGAAAGATAGAACTGATTATCCACTGACAGTCATTTTATATTCTCCTGAGATGGTGTGGATATGCATACAAACTGTTTGAATCTTTTTCGGGTATTAAACAATATTACCCAGACGGTGCACTAGAAATTCCTGAGAACAGGCTATTTGCACAGTTTCATGCCTCCCAAACCAAACAGATACGACAACTGTGTTAGAGTTATCTTTGCTACTGTTGCCATGGGAATGGTGTAGACATACCGTCCATTTGCAATGTGATTCAAATTGGTCCACCATGCAGTGTCAGGGCCTATTTGCAGGAGACTGAGAGAGCTGGAAGGGTTGGCAAACCTGCACGGGCCATTTTGCATTATAACAATCGAGATATAGCAAAGAACAGGGCTGAAATGCAAGAAGATATGAGAACTTTTTGTAAAAGTATTGACACTTGTCTGAGATTGCTGTTGCTTAAGTCACTTGACCATGAGAAAACCATGGTTGACCTACCACACCTCTGCTGCAACATATGTGCAAAACTAATGTGAGTGCCCACAATGTTTGTATGACCTTACGCAGAATCTGTAAAATAGAGTGAAAAATACTAGGATGCTGCACAATTTTCTCTATTTATATTATTACTGTTTCATACTTCAGGAGACAAAGTTGTACATACATGTAAATATACTTAATTTGTTTTCAGTGCAATACCTATACAATCAACTTTTTTCCACACATATGTTGTTGTTGTTTTGTTCAAAATGGATACCACTTATTTATTGACAGTTAACAACTAGATCTAGTTGTTAGTTGTTACTAATTACAATGTTTTGATTCAATGTTTTAGCTTTATTTTATTTTATTTTATTGCCAATGCTGACTATATAAAGTAGAGTATTGAATCAACACATGTCTTTTTTCAGAGTTAGTGTTGCACTGAGTATTTTATTCACAGTGGTTCCCACAAGCACCTTTTTGTAAACTGAAAATTATAACTACATTCAATAGCTTTCAGTCATATGATTAATAGACACTACCCAAATTTGCTCTCTGCCAAGGAAAACTACCCTGCTGACAATAGAGAACATTGTCCGCCTCGGTTTCAAGTTGATGTTTTGTGTGCACTCAAGCAAATTCCGGAACAAGTGTCTGTTATTTATGGGTAATAAATGAACAAATAAGTGTTACAGTAAAGACCTGCAGGTTAAAGAACCTAGATTTTTAAAACCCGAGGCTAAACATTATCTTAGCCCATTAGAGTGTAAGGCTCTCTCTTTGATGAGTAAAATTTGTGTTATACAGAGTTGAAAGAATAAAGTAGGGCACATTGATGCCAAGACACATTTGCATTTGGTTAATCAGACACATGGGCAGATAGGCTAGTTAACCCATGAAGCGGCAGCACTCTCCCCTTGCCGAGTAAATTGTTTGGTGTTATACAGAGTAAAATAATCTGGCGAAAGACAGAGTAGGCGCAATGTGCTGCTTAATATATTTTGGAGTTATTATTGATATTGCAATTCAGGCTAATCATGTTTTTATATAGGTTCTTCGTTAAGTGTATTATATTTTACATTGCAAAAGATTATATATAATAGAAGTTTATTTTCCTACTCAGATCTTATTCAGTACCAAATTTTAACTGTAATTATGTACAATAATATTTGAACCAATTATATATCAAACCAATAAATTTGGCGAATGTGAGGTAAATGGGAAGTTCTGAACTTAAAAATTAATTCCTGTTTGACACGATTTAGTCTATATATGTGAAAATGTTCTGCCAAATATTGTGGTTTTCCTCCATGCAGTAACTCTGGGTTTCCTCACACAGGAGGGGTTTCAGTCTTAATCGGGGTTTCCCTCACATTGTAACCATGGTTCATGATAGTGAGTTGCAAAATAAGGTGGCAGCATGTTGTAATCGTGCCTTGGAAAGCCTAAACACTCACTCAGTCACGCCACAGAATAAAGGCACACAGAAGATTCTCTCAGCCAAAATAACATAACCGCTGTCACGCCATGATTCGTCATTAAAATGCTGACGCCATGTTTCTAGCCAGTGCGCTTATGAGAGCTAGGCACCACCCTTCCCTGGATGCCTGCTATTTTGAAAATTATCAGGGGCGTAAATGCCTCTCATAAGTGCGCTGGATAGAACCATCGCATCAGCATTTTGATGACTAATTACGTTACGCCAATATCCTAGGAAAAACCAAGAAGTCAGGCTTCTGTATAGTCTCTATTCTGTGGTCACACTGAGCCGTGTTCTTTGACTCTGCTAATTCAGATAGGATAATAAACACATATATCCCTTAATTATTAATACTTACTTTCTAAAATGTTGTTGATACATACTTGGTTTGGTAGATAACACAACCTCATAGTTCCACATTAAAGTGAGAATACTGTATACGGTGCAGTAGTCTGTTTGTCCATATGTTTGGCATTGTCAAATAATGTGCTGATGTACTATAAATGTCACATACATTTTTAATTAGTACCCATTGTCCTATACTGCAGTTAGCCATCAGTTTCCGAACTTCTATCCTCTTCTGGATCATCTTCAGACACAGCAAATTGTTGCCATAAATATTTTCCACGTTATTTAATACAGTTTGATTAGAAGACTTAAACAAATCTTAACAACGATTTTTGTCAACAACAGCTTTACAAAGACGACAAGAGGAACCATATACTTCTGCAGTGATGTTTTGAAGTAGCGCTTTTTCGGTGTTTCTCTTGCGACCATCAGCGACAGAATAAAAACATATTTTGTGGTATTTGACCTGAGCACATGTGGCCATGTTGTAATCCGTTATTTACCATGTATGTTTTTTCCATCTCAGAACGCCACGAAACGTTATCTTTTGCACGAAAATCAAAACAATATTTGTTTATATTTCCCCAAATATGTGAAATTTACAAACCCGCTCCTCAACCATCCCTCCCTCAGTATAATTTAATTTACCTCCCAGAATCTGGGAGGTCAGGTGACCAGCCTTTACAAGGGTCTCCGTCCCGCCGCGGGTGTGGAGACCCTTGCTTGCGAGGTTAGTTTTTCGGAGACTTTGCCAATTATAGGCAAAATAAAAATTGGTCTGTAACTCTCACATTCTGTTTTATCTTCAGATTTTTAAATCAGCGTTACGCTGGACCTTTTCCATTCATCTACATAAACAGGGGGGTCATTATGCTTGTCAGCGGCTAGCTTTAATTAACATTATCGCCGATAGTTTATCTAGCCCTGTCGATTCATTTGCTTTTAGATTCTTCAATGCAGAAAGAACACTTTGTATATACATGGATGCATCAAACTTTGAATCTTAGTCTATAGTGTTTCTTATCAAGAACGAGTTGTCATTTGAGTGGCTGTCATAATTCATCTCATCCTCGGAGGAAGAATCTGTAACAAATCGCATGTGGTTCAAAAATTATGAAATAATTATAACGATTTATCGAGTCTGCAATACGCGCGTTTTGAGTCAGTTATACGACGTTATCATTCACCTGAAACTCGTTAATATGAGTGGTTTTATTTTTCTTATCCAGCAACGTTACCTTCTTACCTTGCGATATTACCGGAAAACCTACGTTATGTTTGGACAGCGACTCGAGACTGCAATTACAAATAGATCGTAAAACAATCCACGTTTTCGTACTTATTCTACTCGCCGGTGATGTAGCTACAAATCCAGGTCCTTGTTCTTCTACCCAAGATAGGACAAAACTGAGTTGTTTACGAATCATGTATCTCAACGCACGTAGTTTAAAAGTGCTGGTAGATTCTCCCGACGACGACAACAGTCAAAATATTAGCAAGTTGACCATATTTCAGAACCTTGTTTACCTAAATCAGTATGATATAGTATGTGTTTGTGAAACTTGGCTGAACAACTTAGTTCTACCTTGATAATGAAATCCTACCTGGCTATACCATCCACAGAAACGAACTACGCTCATCTAGAAAATTGTTATTGGAAGGAGAACAGAATGAATTACTAATGATAGAACTTTATCTAGTAAACTGTACGAAATTCATACTAGGAGTTTTCTATAGACCTCCAAACTCTGACGTGGATACCCTAATAGAGCTGAGAAACTCTCTCGATCGGTTGGAAGAATCATGTCAACTTGTTCTGGTAGGTGATTTCAACTTACCCGATATTGATTGGTTAATGGACTTTCTTTCCCCACCCCCTCGCAGGCTGGTGTCAAAGAAGAACTTTTTTGTGATATTATTGCAGAATATCAGTTCCTTTATGAAAGTATTGATGGTCCGACACATCTGCGCGGAAATAATATGTAATGTCCCGGAGCTCATCACTGATGTCAACTGTGTGAATCCAACTGATCTATTTCCATCTGATCATTACCTTATTGAATTCGACATCAAACTTTGTTTCCAAAAGGAAAAAGCGGTAGGTAAGACGAACTGTGTATGACTTTAAAAAGGCAAATTTCAATGCTGCTCGTGATCATCTCTTGTACGTCCCTCTTCACTTCGGCGTAACTGATGAGGCTGATATTGATGAATGCTGGAAAGTTTAAAAAGACTTATTTCTTGCAGCTATAGATCAGTTTGTCCCCAAGAAAACAGTTTTGGATACCAAGTTACCAACACGCCTCCTTGGATAGACCGGGAAGTACAGCATCTGATCAATAAGAAGTACACAGCTCTACGTCAATATCAACTGACACGAACGGAAGAAAGAAAGCGTAAATTGCGAAAGTTGAGGCAAGAAACTAAGAACTTGATTAAGTTAAAGAGACAACGATATTTTGGAAAAGTTCAGGATTCGTTCACAAAATCACCCAAATCATACTGGTCTTACCATAAACATATCCTTTACAACCGAATTTCTCCATCTACGAATACCTATAACAATGTAACTGCAACAACACCAAACAAAAATGCTGAACTTTTTAATGAATACTTTGCTTCTGTGTTTCTTCCAAAGTCCACTTCCAAGAATATAGACCTAAACATGACTCCAAAAACTGACCAAGAAATATCTCAAACACAGATTTCGGAGTATGAAGTGGAACAATTGGACACATCAAAAGCTTATGGCCCTGATGGAATACCACCACGTTTGCTTAAAGAATGTTCAATAGAAATCTCACCAAGCCTCTGTAGTTTATTCTGTTATTTATTTAACAAATCCTTAGCAACAAGATGTGTTCCCGTTGAGTAGAAACAAGGGAATGTCATTCCCATCCACAAGAAGGACCGTGTTGAGCCTGTGACCAACTACAGACCCATTTCTCTCGTATCCATAGTATCGAAAGTTCTCGAGAGAAGCGTGTTTAACAGCATCTACCCATTTGTTCACGTACTAATCAACAATGGTCAACATGGTTTCCTACAAAATCGTTCATGTGTGACACAGCTACTAGGTGTACTACACGACATTGGTAAAAATCTTGATCAAAACAAGCAAACTGATACGCTATACCTTGACTTCTCAAAAGCGTTTGACTCGGTTGATCACGACATCCTTCTATATAAACTACAAAGGCAAGGTGTAAACGGTTCGCTCTTGCGTTGGTTTGAAAGTTATTTGAATGACAGGTGGTAGCGAGTTGTTATCGAGGGCGCTACCTCAACATGGTCTCCAGTGACGTCAGGTGTACCTCAAGGTAGCATTCTTGCACCGTTGCTTTTTCTCATATTTTTTAACGATCTTCCAGATAATGTTTCGTACGGTACAAACTCAACATTGTATGCGGATGACTCCAAACTTTACAGAGAGGTTACATCAATAAGTGATTGCCAGTCCTTGCAAGACGACCTAACAAAGCTGGAAAAGTGGAACATTGACTCACGAATGAAATTCAACACTGGAAAATACAGAAGATGGTAGCAAAGGCAAATGCTTGGCCTCCTTAAAAGAACCTGTTTGGAAATTACAAACGTTCGAGTTAGAAGGGCATTGTTATTTACGCTGGTAAAATCGCAGCTAACATACGGAAGCGAAGTCTGGTGCACTAGCAGCATCTATCTATGCAAAACGATCGAAGGAGTCCAGAGGAGGGCAACGTTGTGGATATTAGGGAAAAAACGTGGCGAGATGACTTACTTAGAACGTTTAACGGAACTAAATCTTATCCCACTGGTATACGACCGAGAGAAGAAAGACATAATTTTACATTTTAAATGCAAGAACAACTTCGTAGACTTAGATATCTCACAGTATGTCGAAACTACGGCAAGCAGAACACGTGCATGCACCTCTTGCCTTTTACGAACCGCATTATGTAGAACAAGCACATTTCAAAACTCGTACTTTGTTAGAATTGTAAAACTGTGGAACTATGTATGTAAATCTGCTCCTCCCAACTGCTACGACACTCTTTCCAACTTTAAAACATACCTACACAAGACTTATCTCCACTTAACAGCCACTGTTTACACTCCTGACGAACCTATCTCGCACTCTTTGATCACGACCAACTGACATCTTCCACTCCTCCATGTATCTATTTCTACCTCTTCTCTCTTTTCATCTACTGTGCTTCTAACCTTCCACTTCTCTTTTCTATTTCATATATTTTGTAATTTTGCTGTTCTGTAATATTTAGTGGTGAGCACCCTGCATGGGACATGGTCTCGTTTGTGCTTCGCCTCTTTTGGCACCTGTTTGTTTGATGTTGTCCATACGTTTCTCAAATGTAATAGTCTATGTGTATTATTCATGTGTCAAAATAAAGCTTAAATAATAATAAAGACCAGGATTATTTATGTCTTTGGTATATGTACAGTCCCGAATTGTGTCAGTATAATATTCGGATTTGACTTTATACGCATATAAAAATATTAACCATTTCATAGGTTTTTATAGTTTCTCCAATTATACTTGACACATGTTTACTCGTATGATTGCCATTTGTTAGTATCATAACTGGAGACGCTTGGCTGATCTCGCCTCTCTATATTCTCTTTAGCTGTCGTAACTTACATTCTGAAGAGTTGTTATAAAATAACATGTATATGACGCGTGCTCTGATTGGTCGAAACCCGTGTTTGGATCAGGCCATCCAAACACGAAAATTTAAAGTGAAATTTTAGCACGGAAAGTTGTTATTTTATAAAACAATTACTTTATGGTTTCCGTGTTTGGATGGCCTGATCCAAACACTTGGGAATGTTGCTCGAGTTAAGAAAAGCGCGCAAAATCACTCGTCTTCGGCTCGTGTTTCGCGCGCTTTTCTTAACTCTCGCAACATTCCGGCCCGCGTGTTTGGATCAGGCCATCCAAACACGGAAACCATAAAGTAATTGTATATTCTAACTATTAGGATTTGTAACTGTTTCACTGAATTCTAGTGTAGAGGCATGCGAGGAATTTTTTTCAAAAACTAGTTCTTATACATTTATGGGGCCATCACATGTACAGTAGATTGGTGTTTGATGGTAACGTATGTGTGTGTGTCTAACAATATATCACAATCATTCAACGTGCGATTTTGCAGCTCGACTTGGCCATTACAGGAAGGGTAATTTTTTTTCGTACGCGTTTTAGTTATACATGGCCATGATCATACAAATCTCGTGCATCAGGGTTATTTAAAGTTTGACCCTTGATCCGACTGATGGAGTTTCTTAATTGTGACTGGTACAAATATATATTACCTGGGGATATCTATTTCATCTGCACGACGCCAAGCAAATAAAAAGCTATGAAAATTTTCCTTTTACGAAGACGTAAATCAATCAGCCATTTCTTTGTTTTGTTAATTTTTACCCTTGTTCTGTTAATTTTATTGTTAGGTTTACCAATATAACAAGACAATTTTCAACTTAACATATGGAATGAGCTATTATCTAAGAGTAAGTATCATTCTTACGATGTTATCACATGCGCCTGCAATCCTATTCGAACCCAGAATTGTGTACTTTATGTTAGATTCACATGTGGCCTCTTGCATGCAACGTTCAGTTAATTTATTTTTTATTTTAATTTTCTTCCCGCTCAACCGAATATAATTGAACATTTATTATCCAATAAACTCTGATCTAATACACGTAATACATACTTTTATGAGAAAAGCACGAGTACAACACGCATTGTAATGTTCCTACAATAAATAAAAAACAACAACAATTAACTGAATGATAGTGAATAACAGTAAATTCACCAGATGAAGCTAAACACGATCTAATACTATTACGTAACTTATTTGCATGTAAAACACGTTCTACAATAGGGTTGCATATTCTATTTAGCTTAATTTTTAGATAAATGTACGGTGGTCCACAAGTGCCACACAAAACTTTATTTTATACGACTAAACTTTCATTCATTGCGACAAGTCTTTCTTTTGAAGCGACCAAACTTTCTTTTGAATTGAAGCAATCAAACTTTCTTTTGAACAGACCAAACTTTCTTTTGAAGCGATCACACTTTCTTTTGTAGTGACTAAACTTTCTTTTGAAGTGACAAAACTTTCTTTTATAGTGACCACACTTTCTTTCGAAGCGATAAAACTTTCTTTTGATAGTAGCTGCCATTATTTGACATACTTTGTGTACTAACCAATAAAACAGAATTAAAATGGCTGACGAACAGTTTGATGTTTTTGATGAAGAGCATGAAAAATAGAAAACGACTACGAAGAATTAATCTGCTACTACTTTTATAAAGGTTTTACTTACGAAGAAATTCGTAAGATTCTCTATCAATATCACAATAAAGAAATGAGTCCTAATAAAAAGACTCGGGTTACGACGACATAATGCTGAATATGATATTGCTTTAGTAAGAAATGGAATTATGTCACTATTGGAGGGTCCAGATTGTTCACGTGGGTACTGCTTGATCTGGCATGCCCTCCAAATGAATGGAATGAGAGTACCAAGATTGGTCGTGGAAATGTTTCTCCTTGAAATTGACCCGAAAGAGTATCAGAGAGAAGAATACATCGATTGAAAAGAAGAATATATTATAATCCTTGGCCAAATTACGCCTGGCATTGTGACGGTTACGACAAGTTAAACCGTTCGGCTTTCCTATTCATGGGTACATTGATGACTGGAGCCGAAAAATCATATGACTGTATGGCACCCGTTCAAATAACCTTCCAAGTAACATTGGCAGATATTATCTTGAAGCAGCAGCTGCATGCAATTGTTGTCCAATTGATCTTGTGAGAAATTTAGGGACAGAAAATGGTATTATGGCAGGCATACATTCTTTTTTTCGTAATGATCCTAATAATCATCCATATGTGCCTTCTCCATGCAATCAGCGCATTGAAGGCTGGTGGTCATTTCTCCATAAGAACCACACGTCATGGTGGATAAATTTCTTTAATGACTTAATTACGGCAGCTATTGTAAATTTGGCACAACCACTAGAGAAAGAATGTCTCTAGTTTTCATTCGCAGGATTGTTATAGAAACATCTCAATGAAACATGTGAGCACTGGAATACCCACAACAGTCGAAAATCCCATAATGACACAGTTTACATCTGCATATGGGGGTATGCCAAACCTTTTATTACCATTACCTGAAGATCATATGAACTATGCTAGTCAACATGTGGTACGGTGGAAGCGCAAGAAGAGAATTACTACCAAGAATACTTCAATTATGTCATGGAGAACACCCAAAGAGAATTTCCTTCTAACTGGTAGCAAGCATTATTGACGAACTACGAACTATTGATAAATTATGCTAGAAATGGACAACAGGTCTAGAACTTGAACGTGCGGTCATTTCATTCTGAAAACTAATGGAATTGCTGTTGTCATAATGGTCGAGGTTAAAAGTAGAATTGTAAATATATATTGATTGTATTGACAGGTAAATTGTCGAAAGTGTATATAACTGGTAATATTAACCCTATTTTATTATTTTACTCTGTCTAAAGCCAGGCAATTTTACTTGTTAAGGAAAATGCTGCTGCTCAATGAGTTGACCTACAATTAATGACAATGTTCCTTAAGCTCTATTGCACCCTGATGCACTCTACCTTCTACATTTTAGTTTTCTAAATATGTCTCAGGTAAGAACATGCACCATGTACTAAGCCTAAGGCCATCAAAACCTATATCATTTGGGCACAAGGCAACTACAGCTGAAATCCTCTGTGGCTTTTCCCCCGTTAGATCGAGATAATTCACTTGTTGCCTCAAAGTCAAAACCCTCAACCTCGGAGCGCGATGGATTTACACACAATATGTAATTCGTATTTCTGAAGCTCCGAGTTGCGGTTGTTACGTCCCACAAGCCGTTTTGCTATTGCCTAAAAAGCGATTTCTATAATTTACGAATTCCCATAACTTTCACCTATTTGGCTAAACTCTATCGTTTAATTTGGCAAATTCCTGCCCGTTACAAACTACAAAAATGTTTTGAATTCTTCGTTGCTCTTCATATGGGCAACAGGAAGAGTGAGATCCTTGTCACAAGCTCCAACCAAACGGAAGCATATCGTATGGGAAGGATTTCTCTGAAGGCACTCGTGGTCAAAATGGACAGTAATCGTAGGTTGTTTTTCCAACATATCCTTGTGCTTTTGTCCAGTTAACCAACCCATAATGCCAGCAACTGATAGATCGGCTTCCTCCAAAACTTCCTCTGCTGTACCACCAGTGCTTTGATATGCTTCCCCGTCAATACCATCATCATCACCTTCTCTCCAAGCTATAGGAGCTGCTTTAGTGGTAACTGCTTGGACCGTCAAGAACAACACGTTCTTCCTTTGTTAGCTCTTCATCACTTATATTTAACACGTCAAGTTCTTTCTGCAGAGCGTCAGTTGATTCTGAGTTGATCTCATTTAAATTATGACCGTCCCACTCTTCTTGAATTAATTGAGCCAGTTGCATGTCACTTCCAATTTTTTGCATTTCGTCAGTGGTGATATCTGAATGTCCATCGTCATAAACGTGATGGCTAGTTTCTCCTTCACAGCAATCTTGATCTGAGCTTTCGTCACAGCCTGTTTTATTTCGCAACTCTTCAGATAATTCTAGATCACTACTGGTACACAAATACAATGTTATTTTTTCGAGATCGAAGAAATTTTTAAATGATCCAGGCATAAACTGAGCACAACTTCCATCTTGATAAAACTTTTTCAGTCCAATGTTAATTGTAACATCAGGGTGAGGGATGGTCTTTGCTTTTTTATTCTTTTTGGTTTGAAATTCAGAGCTGCAGTTTCTTTAAAAAAATCATCCAACGTCAATACTTTTGGAAACTTTATTTCACTACTTTCATGTTTTGGCCTACCGAATGAACTGGTGCTTGGAGACAGTTTTCTTAGAATTCCAACTTGGATGACAAACATCTACTTTGTCACCTTTGCAGTTCCAGTATTGAGACTGAAGTTTTATTTTAGCTGAACAATCTCCACAAAATCTGAAATGAAAACTTTATTAAGCAAAAAAAGGGGAACAATTAATACCATGCATTACCATGTATAATGAAGGGGGGGAGGGGGGACCACGTCATTGGAGATCATCTATGTGGTCAGCCTGTGTGATAATTTATGTTTGTTGTCATGTATGGAAAATGTTGTAAAGTAAAATGATTAAAAAATAAATCGATAGTAAACCGAAAACAATTGCTCAAGCAAGATTGCTTAATTAATTAACCAAGAATGTAAATCCCATGGAATTCCCATGGAATTTAAGGAAACACAAGAAACCATGTCTACTTGTTAATCGTTTTGATTATTAGCAAAACCTTCCCACCCTCTCAAGGAAATTCTAATTTTAGTTATCTAATATCCCTGGAAATCAATGACACATTTCCTGGAAATGATACTAAACTAATAAGGAGTTTTAACTTCTATGTCTTCCACATTCCCCCCCCCCCCCCTTCCTGGAAATCCGAAGGTCCCTCATGAATGCATATGTGTGCAAAGTGCATTATTTCTCACTTTTAATCTTGTATTTCTAACTTATAAACACAGACGTGCAGGACCTATCTCAATTGAGGTGTGCGTGTGGGGGGTGGGCGGGGGTGGGTGTGAGGCTGAGGTCTGTAGTTTGCCCAAAGGAGGTCAGTATCTAATAAATATTTCCGCATCATATTATATAGATCCCCGAAAACCCCCCAGACCCCCTCCTGCACGACTCGTTCAACTATTTTTATAAAAGTGCTGGACCTTTAACATTGTATTTGATAGTAGTATTTTTTAATCTTGAACTATCTGTGCCAGTAAGAGTAGCGCCAAAATTAACAAAGCTTTCGCTGGTAGGGATGCAATTATCTGAAAATTACATTGACGTTTCGTGCGTGCCCTTCATTCAGATATTAGACGGTTTTAGATAACAAGACGCGTAAGTCAAGAGGACGTGGATGCCGTCATTTGGCGCCAACTATCATCAGCTTCTGGTTTGCGACGTCGTCTTGGACGATTTCACGACGCGAAAATACAATTTTCACGTCCTCTCTAGAACGTAACAGATTTTTGCTTCTTTTGACTATGCATAATAAAAATCATCCTATTTTGTTTCCCATGTATTGCTTAATGATACTAGCTAAACTTTTCCATTGACAAGGTTGTTTTTCTTGTATTTCGCTAAATTTTAGACGAGTTGATTTTCGACAAATACTTTCGGTCGCCATAAACAAATCAACAAAACTGCAAGCATTGTTAGTAACCACTTCAATACCGCTAGTAATCTTCACCAAAACCAATATTTTGGAACAAACTAAACTGAAGTTATATTAACAACTGCTTAAAATCAGGAAAACGTGGGAAAATAGAAAAATAAAAGTAATTAAAAGCAGTAAAAACTCAATCAATTTTATTTGATCTGTCACAACAGTCAACAGTGCAAAAAGTAGGACAAGCAAAAAAACGCTTTCCAGCGCGAAAAACTATCGTAAACAGTGTTAAATTTTACCAATATAAACACTGATGCTATATTTATACTGAACAGTTGACAAACTTGATTGAATAGGCTACAATTAGCTCGTAAACAATACCTGCAGCTGTTGTATTTATTCCAAATGATGCAACAAAGTTCACTTTTCAAAATACCAAAACTGAACTTTTTTCTAAAAAAAACGTATTGAATGTCCATAAAACAATTTGCTAAAAACTAAGGCGTTTATGATTATTATTTCTAAAGAACATTTATCAAATGCGTGTTTGACTCGATTTATTTGTCCCAAGCGAGACATGCAAGATGATACCAGAGACGTCATACAGTATGCTCATTATACGTCAGATTTGTATCCATGCAGAATTACGCCAAGGTCTTTAGCCACTGTAGACTGTAGAATTTCTTTTCCTAGTAGCGAAAGACGAAAGTCCGTAACTTTGGCAGACATCGTACGACTACCAAACGTACGACTACCAAAGTTTGTTTTTTCCCGGATTGAAGAGAAATTGGTTATCAAACCACCAACTCTGGATGGAGGTTAAGTCGCTGTTCATACGTTCTACCGTATTTTCCTGGTCTTGAAGGTAGAATGAGATTAGTAGCTTGGTGTCATCGACATAGAGTTGAGGTGAGGGATTTCTTGGGATGGTTGGAAGGTCGTTGTAAATATATGTTAAAGAGAAGTGGGCCATAGATACTGCCTTGAGGTACACCACAGGATACTGGTAATCGATCAGACAAAGCTGTATAGATGCGGACTGCTTGGTAGCGACTGGATAGATAACTGCGGAGCCAAAGTATAACAGATTCGGAAGCACCAACATCTTTTAACTTTGCGTAGAGTATCGCGTGATTTATACTATCGAAGACTTTCGACATATCGAGGAACACAACCGTGAAAAGTTTCTTTTTGTCAATAGCGGATAATATTTCATCAGTAGTGTGGATTACGAAGGTTTTGGTTGAGTGTAACTTTTTGTTCCCACTTTGTATAGACGAAAGGCGATATTCCGATAACAAATAAGACGTAAACTGATCGTGGGCGGTTCTTTCACACACTTTAGACAGAATAGGTAGGAAGGATATTGGTCTGTTATTATTGGCTACTTGATGGTCTCCTTCTTTGGGAATCGCAATAACTTCGGATATTTTCCATACTGTTGGGAAATATGCGTTCTCAAACGTGGCATTCATGATTGATGTTAGAGAAGGCAGTATAGCGGGAGGACAATCCTTAATAACACGTAGTGGAATTTGTCAAATCCCGGAGCCTTGTTAGTTGCCATAGAATACAAATTAACAGTTAATTAGATAGTTAACAAATTAAAGGGATGATCAGGTTCCTACAGCGATACCTGATCTTACTGAAGCATTTCAATTAAATTGTTTTTCAATATTACATCGTGCCAAATGTTATATGTGAAATCATTGGATTTAAGAAGTGAGAATTCTAATTTTGCTACAGATATATGGATATCATGGTCATCACTGTTTATCTAAATACGTGGAAGCATTAGATTTCAACGGTAAGTTTAGTTTTTTGCATCTGAATAGATATTCTAATGTTCTCTATTATGTTCAGGTCTTTATAATATATTGTTTTGTTTGTGTCAATCACTTTATTGCCAAGTAAATGGTAAGACATTGCTAGGCAGGGGACTATTGTATAAAAAGCTAGCTGATTAAAGTTAACCATAGTTATTGCGAAAGTTAACCAATCACATGCAATCTTATATGAGAGTTAACTACTGTTTAACTACAAAACGGGTAGTAGTTAAATTAAGCATTTTATTACCAACGGCCCCAGAGCAGTAGCCCCAATTGGGTGCAGCTTTTACAATGAGTGTTGGTTGCGTGTTCGACCAGAAAGGCGAGCTACTAATATTATCGACTGTATTCGGCTGGTTTGAGATTGAAAATTATATACCATACAGAAAGCCATGTAAAATAACAATAATTATTTGTTTATCGGGAAACTGCTTACCAGATGGTTATAATTTACGAGATGGCTAACAGATGGTTCCCAAATGGTTAACAAACTATTTGCCAGATGGTTATTATATATAAAACTTCATGCATCACCGCCCAACTGGAAATGTGTCACCCCTCACCCCACCCACTGTGTCTGATTTGAGCTCCTTTAGCCGCTCGTATGGTTACACGGAATAGAAAATCGTAGTGAGTGGTGTTATCCCTAAACCAAATGATACAAAATCAATACCAACATATTCAATATTATACCATATAGTCTTGAAACTCTGGGAATTATATGAGGAAACTGATGTAGGACAGGTTCTGGAGCGATAGAGGAGTCGAATAAAGGCGACGACGAAACAATATTTATGTTTACATTTCAAAATTCAGCATGCTTCTGGTAACAAAAACCGTATCGGTTTTAAATCATTAACATTTGTATTAATTTTCATTAAATTCGCTGCATTATTAAATGGTATAAATATAGTAGGCGTTAAAGGTAAATACAAACCATATTTTTGTTTTCAAAATTAATGAAGAAATTGAATGATGTTGGCATAAACTTCATACTTCGACCCAAGATAACTTTTGCCAACCGTGTCATTCTGCATTAAATTAATACTTGTTCCTTTTTGTATAGCTATACCGCCATGCGAAAACGCAAACTGCAGCACGAGCAAACCCAATAGCATATGTCAACCAGATGGTCATGAAGGAAAACACAAGTGTATCTGTAATGATGATTTTTTTGAGGAAAACAATAAATGCTTAGGTATGTGCTTGATAGCCTCCTCCGCAGTTAACTTGTTGGCAAACGGTAGAATTACATTATGAAATATTTATATGGTTGATGAGACACAGTAACAGGAGATTGCATGGGATGAGTGATGTACGTCTCTCTACCATTAAGTATTGCGTAGTTATGCTGTATTCAGTTAATCAAGTTGGACGAGGCTATGTGTGAATCCATTACTAACTGGGCAAAGATACTAGCTCAATCACTATAGCTAAGTTCCATTCCAAGCGTACCGTACTAAAAAGTACGAAACTCAAATAAAACGTGAAGTACATGAAGAAACGCTTGGTATGGGAGTCCACCCGGAAGTAGGTAAATTTATCAACCTATTTACGATCGACGCATGCTCACTAGTACGTTTCTGTACGATTACGCTTGAAGTGAAAAGCGGCCTTTAATCGCTTGAAATTGACTATATACATGCAAAATCAGTGCTGAACCAGACGGAAATATAAATGTTAATGGATTTATTAACATCATATATAGATAAAAAGCCATGTCAAAGAAACCCTTGCAGAGGAGATCAGAAGTGCACGCCAATCGTAGCAACAGGAGGACGTAATTGTACATGCGAAAAACACTTTATTGAGATAAATGGAACTTGCGAACCAGTATCACCAGGTAAGATTGCATATCGTATTTATAGCATAGATCTAAAGAATGCTAAATTTCAATTTACTAGTTCTAAAATCCATAACGATTCTTGGACGTTCAGAAGAAGATATTATCTAAATTTGTTTTTCAAACGATATTTTGGCCGTTTTGATGTAAAGTTTCCTCAAGTATATTTGCAATACTTTCCGCACAATATAACATCACTTATGACAATAAAGATGACTTAAATAATGAGCTCTCTACCGGAGAAATGAGCAGGACCGAAACTGCACAAACATACCACCATAGAAACTGAAATTTGAACAGGCATTTTTGCGAAAACGTCGGACGATTGCACGTAATTCGCACGGGACGAAATTTGACAAACATTTTCAAATTAATACCTAAAAATCCCAATTGTAAAGATAGGGTACAGTCCGGCCTGCGCATGCGCACATAGGAGTATCCTACCGTGATATAATTAAACACATTAATTAGGTTTTTATTTCATTTTATGTTCTTGCGAAGCCTGAATGTTGTATCTTGATCATTCATTACACTTGTGTAAATTTATACTAACCTTTTAATTACGTGTAAATGTTTTCAATTTTCATCGGGCGCCATTTTGAATGTTGAAAGCGGTATATATTATTAGCTTATCGCAGGCGCAATAATTTATGTTCATCTTTGACATTAATTTATGTTACACGATGATACTCCGAAGGGCGACCGAGAAAGATCCGAAATTTAAAATAAGGCGGAGAAATAATAAAAAATAAAGAGGGGAGTGAAACGGCCGAACTATTATCCACTGATGCTGGTTGACTGTTGCTAGGAACATTTGATGTTGCTAGGAACAAACCGGAAACAAAATGAGACATACTATTATGGGAACCACTGAGTATTTTAATATAATATACTGTAGAAACAACAAATATAATATAATATACTGTAGAAAATAATTTTTTTTTTACTATTTTCGGATTTACCGTTGATTTATATTTGATCTACTATAATTAGTTCAAGCGAGTCACATTAGAATATATTATTAAAATTGGGGACAATGGCGAGAGTTTGTATGTCAGATAAACATCGGCTGCTCGTGTTTTAATGTGCTTAAAAGACGACCCATCATATGAGTTCATTGACGAAGTAATTTTAAAAATAAACATTGTCTAAGCCGAGAAAATCGAAGCTGAAGTTTATGTAAATGAAGACAATTTACAAATCTATTATCCGATCGATTTACATACATTGATTAAACATTCATTTCTTTTGAATTTCCTTCATGAATTATTAATACTGTATTTTGTGTCCAGCATTCGCAAATGTTTTTGTTTCTCTGCTGTCGAAAATTCACTGCTGGCGAGCAACGATGCAAATCAATACAAGCACAGAAAAGAAAATGGACCAGAAGCCTCACTGTATATCTTTTCCTAACATTTTCGTGTCCGCGATTTTCGCCTTGCGGATCACGAATTTCGGACGCTAGATGACGTGTGTGACACTTGCTGCGAACATCACGTCAGCGTTCGTCAGCAAAACGGTTAAAACAGCAATCTTTATTACCTAGTGATGGCGTTTGATGGCGTCGTGATTACACTTGCTGGCTCGCGCCTGCTCATAAAAATCTCGGACATAATTTTGGCTAAGTGAGGCTTCTGGTCTATTTTCTATTCTGTGATACAAGTTTTGATATATTTCAGATTCGACAGTTCTTGGTCAACGAGCATGGCCAGATAACGAAATTGGATATACGCATTATCATTGGCCAATACCCCATCACGTGTTCGGCCGTTTCACTCCCCTCTTTATTTTTTATTATTTCTCCGCCTTATTTTAAATTTCGGATCTTTCTCGGTCGCCCTTCGGAGTATCATCGTGTAATATAAATTAATATCGCCTGCGATAAGCTAATAATATATACCGCTTTCAACATTCAAAATGGCGCCCGATGAAAATTGAAAACATTTACATGTAATTAAAAGGTTAGTATAAATTTACACAAATATTTCTGGCGTGCTCCCTTGTTGTAGAAGCATGAAAATATAAATCGTTGTGGAATAAAGTTCAATATTTTGAATACTGAAATGTAAACAAAGGCTTTGTTTACGTATGGATTGTACCATACCTTTAAATGTAATAATCCACGCTTAGTTGACCATTAACCGACACAGTGAAACAGCATATGAAACATAATTTATATTTTGTAATTTAAAAAACTCATGCTTTGTTGTATATGAAATGCATGTACACGTCAGACGTGATTATGTATAATTCCAGCTATAGACAAAATAGAACACAATCCATCAACACAGCTATAGTAATGTATGTCTATTAATCATTAGTATAAACCTACTAGTAGGCTATCACATATCGTGGCTTCTGATTGGCTACGCTACTAGTAGGCTATTAGTATAGCCTACGAATAAAGGCTATTAGTAATAGCCTACGAAAATTCGCGTTTTGCCGACTTTTGCAGAAGTGTCTGATGACTTTTTTGGACGACTTATTGTTTCGTCTATAAAATGATGATTTTTTCGGGGTTTTGGTGGAAATGTTGATGTTCTTCATGGTGGGATACAAAAGGTGTGTTAGCGACTGAATAAGGAAAATATTGCGTGTGAAACAGGGTCAGTGTAGAGCCGGCAGGAGCCGCGAAGAGTGCTGTTGTCGAAGAAAAAAGTCACAATTAATTGTAATCTTGTCCATTCACCTCTGTGTCAGCTTGAAAAAGCTTTAAATATAGAGACATTTGTGGTTTCTCCAGCATAATTTAGCCGTTTAACGCTATTATGTTTCTAATGGTTGAAAGAGCGTGTGGAAAGGGAAATTTTCAAGAACAAAAACAATCGATGTACTGTGTGTTAATTGCTACTGTAGTATTAAAATACCTGAAGAGAGTCTCAATTCTAATATTATCCTTGATAATATTAAAGTTTTCAGAAGATTTGTATATCAGAGGAATATTAAAAGGAATTTAGACTTATAAAACATATCATTAAAAATATGAATATAGTGAATTCCATGTTTATATTGTGTTATCATCTCTAGAAATTAACAGTTTATAAACCAAATCCTTGTTATATTTTTTAACTGCCCTTATAGCTTTCCTTATTTGTTTTAATATTTGCCAGCAGTTTAGTAGGTTAGGGATGCAACAGCACTTTTCAAATTATTGAATTATAACCAAATTTGTGTCTGGATTTACACTTTGTAATGATAGAGTTGGAGCAAGTTAAGCTGCAATGTGCCTCAGTTTGCCCTACTTTGTTATTTTAAGCTGTTTAACACCAGAATTTTTTCTCGTCAAGGGGAAAGTATTAGACTTTGTATTTGAATGGATTAAGCAGTCCATCTGCATGTCTACCTATCTTTGGTTAATTATCTCATTAGATCATTAAGCCACAATGCTCTTTAGTGCACCCTATTTTGTTATTTCACTGTACTTCTGGACAATTTTTCTCATCAATGGCCGGAAATGTACTTGACTTCATGTTAATTACTGCCATTAATTAATTAACTACTGTACTAAATAGGACATTCAAGGTTGGGGATAAAATAGCAATAGAGGTTGCTATCATTGTAGCATTCAGGGGCGTCACTAGCCCAAATTGTCAGGCATTTTATTGTATTGAAATCGGGAAATTGTTTTCGTGGCCAGCATAATTTGAATTGGATAGGAATGGAAAAAACTGAAATATATGAGTTATTGTTGCCCCTCCCCTTCTCAGAGTAGGTATGTGTTGTTTTATAGTTGAATAACAAGTTTTGATATTACAATCAAACTGACAGGATAGTTGTCATGATTATGGTAATAAAAATATTTCTATGGCTCGGCATTTATATTGGGCAATTTTTTATCATTTGTCACAAAATTATACCTGCACCTTAGGTGGTTCCCTGCAGGGGGTCATAACCAGGGGGAAGCTGATGAAAATGAACTCTGGTATTGGTGGCTGATCACTATCATTTAATATTTTTGTGAATAGAACATTTCTTAAAAAAAAGTATATGAATTTATTAAAAATATTTATATGGTCTCTCAATCTGGAATTCATACTTTGTAACATTTGGATCAAAAGGTTTATGATGTTTTCTTGGACAGAATCCAATTAATACAACCTCGTGCAGAGCTTCTTTGAATTACTGTGTGGACAAGATTAACGAAGGGATTGCCAATTTGGCATATTGTACTACTCAATAAATTAAAATCATTAAATACTTTCTGCCAGGAATGGATCCAGCATGTTCTGGTAGGGGGGGGGGGGGCTCTGCCAGCTGTGGTGCCGAGTTGTGTCGGTCATGTGTGCTGCCCGCCCATCAACTTGCTTCACTACTGCAAACCCCCTTCTGGCCAGGGCACCCCCGCTGCACCCCCCCTCCCCCCAGTAAATCCATCCCTGCTTTCTGCTACAATTAGCTGTAATATTATACTGTATATTATTGTGTTTCATATGACGTCATAAATTTGACGGGGTGTCAATTCTAAATCGAGACACAGTCATCATAGTGAATTAATTTTTCACTGTATGTGTTGGCCTTGTGTTTGGTGGCAAATACATGCAATTTCATATCATTTGCTCACTCCAGTACAGCATAAGCATCAATACATTTTAGGTTAACCCCCCATCAGAACGTGCAAAATGCCATAGTGAAACCCAAGGATTCATTATATGTATTAGGTGTATACAGGAATACAAGTTGATATCACTGCCTGTGAAATTGTGGTTTATTTAGAGAATAAAGGTTTTTTGAACTCTTCTATAAATAAATTATAACAGCAAAAGATTCATATGCACCCATATAGGGAAGGGTTACATACTACAAGTTAAAATGAGTATTACATACTCCTGCACTTGAAAAGTTTACAGTACAGTATATACATTAAATAATAAAATATATAACAGTAAATCCCAAGATTGGATGTATTGAAACTAGTTAACAATGCAATTAGATAACACAAAGACAAATTAATAAAGTTATTAACCACTTCTGACACAAATAGTATTTGCAAAATATAGCACATATTTGATATTATAGTCAAATAGAACAGTGTACTGACAGTACTGTATACTATGTATAGATTTAAACACAGGAAACCTGTACAACACAGAATATGAGTAAAGTTTTCACGCTCCATTTAACTGTTGTGATATTATACGCATTAAGTATACGTTTCTTTGCATTTCCTTTGTAGTATTAGTATATAGCACAGCTCTGAAAAACCAAAACAATATTCGTACACTCCTAAACGGCCGCCATGTTATATATAAAAATATACGGTTAAAAATTAATTTTTGCAAAATTGCAACATTCCATTGTATACCAGCAACCAATCATATTCATTTCTGAGATGGATTATCCCAGAGCCTTCGTTTCTTCCCAAGGATCGCAGGCTCGGGGAACGAGATTGATGTGAGCACACTTGTTTTGATTTTGTGTGCTCCCCAGTCCTTATTCGAATATGCGCGCTCAAAATGGCCGACTCGCAAGAGTTATATAATAGAGCCGTCCACTTCAAAGGCAAGTCCTTCTAATGATGGTCGCCAAAACCAACCAGGAAATCGAAAAGAACATTTCGCGAAAAGATATGCAACGAAAATGTACTTTAATGACGCTATTGGTCGGTGAAATCATTTCAAAACTGAAGCTGGGATTAAAAATGACGCGGGTTCGCGAAACTCTGCTGATCAAGCCTGTAAACGAAACATCAAGACGGATTTAATTGTGGTAAGCACATAACACATATCCCTGGATATTTCAGTTATGTTAATGTTGTTATATTTCCTGATTACAAAACTTTGTTGTGACTTATAGCGCTGTGGAAACCCAGACGGATCAGCAGCCAGATGAAACAATACAATGCAGACATGAGCCATTGCCAGTATATGCTCAGAAAGGGGAAACAGCAATGGAGCCATATAAAGATTCTTAAAGATTCTCCTAAGCAGTACGAATACATCCTACAACTTATAATGAAGGTATGTATAACATTTTATGCTTTCCTGAATCCTAATGAGAAAAAAAGTGACTTTTAGCTTTCATTATGAAATTCCATATTCTTTATATCTCATTTTCAAACAAATATATTGATCATTCTGTATGCATGTTAAGGGCACAGTAGCACCTGCTGATTGATGTGTTTTAAGAGTACTAAAATGGCTTTTTGGAAAACCAAATTTTGATTTGCATGAACATCAACAAAATCAAAATGTGACTTGAAAAAAGCGATTTAAATGTTTTTAAAACACATTCGTCAGCAGGCACTAATGTGCATTTAAACAGGAATAAAACTAATTATAAGTCTTCTTTAGGTATGGGGATTGGTGTTGCAAGTGATGACCAAAGCAAATCACTCCTAACATAACCCCTGTCCCTCCTCCTTCAGTCAAATAACTTGTTGAAACCCATCAGTCTAGATTCAACTGATCAATGTAGACAAGTGTCTGGCACTTAAAACAAAGTGCTCTGGTTACGTGGAGCTCATAATCCCTGAAAGGCAGTTCACCTAGGAGAAGGAACTCTTACAACCCCCCGGACCCCAATAGTGAGTCAGGCTGTCCATATTGGATTCATTGATCTTCGGTGCACATCAATACACTTTTCAGGACAGAAGTAAGGAGTAATTTTAAAGAATAAAAAAATCAATGTCAATACCAAATGTTGTGCTTGGACATCCAATGCATTTGATAACTTGTCTTTTATAAAATGAAATATTACTGTTCATAAAGATTTAACGCATTAACTTGATAAAGGCTTTTATTTGGTAGCAAAATTTGCTGTGGGAGATAGAGAAAGCTTAAAATAAGTTTGAAGCAATTTTGAACTGCAATTTTCTTCTTTTGGTGTATGTGTTAGACTGAATAATCAAGCCACGCAAAGTAATGTTTCCTGTAATTTTGCTAAAACACATATGGCAAAAGGAGAAAATCAAAGTTTAAAATCGCTTGTGTGAACGGGCCTTAAGGTGGCTCCCTACAATTCTCGAAAATTCTAGGTATTTTGAGTAACGTTCGCTTTGAACCGAATTTATATTAGATACACTTAAGACAAGGCAATATGTGAAATATGATCATTTCCAGGAAAGTTCAGAAGCTGCGTGCTGTCCATTTATGAACAAATTAAAACAGTGTTCGGGTTGCCATGGCAACCATGATGTTTAATCTTTTGCACTTTTATTGTCTAATTTCACAATAAATTGACAATATCTATATTTTCCTTCGGTGAATTTTTCTGAAATTTTTTTTTAAGATTCATGGCCCATAAAGGAAAAACATATCAAAATTTGAAGGGAATTTACAAATAAGTTTTCGAGATATTCGTGAATGACGGTTACAGAAAAAGTTATTTGTAGAATTTCTTAAAATTTGGATATGTTGTACCACTCTTCTTGTATAACAAAAATACAAATTTTAAAAAAATTTCACCGAAGAAAACACGAGAAAATCATCACTAAAGTCGGCGTGGCCAGCATGAAAAAAATCTGTCTTGCATCAGGACTTGCATCTGATATGGATCGTAAATACCATCGTACAGAAAAAGCTTGTTTGGCAAAAGCTTTCTCATGAATAGTTGACCAAGACCATTTGCAAGACTTGGCTGTTAATTCACATAGCGGAGCTGTGAGAGTGGAGAAGTCCTTAATAAATTGTCAATAGTAATTGGCCAGGCGTAAGAAACTACGAAGTTGAATGACACCAGTTGGCGTTTTGAAATTCTTAATTGCCTCGACTTGTTTTGGATCTCCTGACAGTCGTCCGTACTTAGACTGAATGTAGCCATAGGACCAAAGTGACTGTTGATTAAACTTGAATTTCTCCAGGTTTAATGAAAGTTTCTTGATAACTAATCGGTTTAAGAGTGCTTCTAAGTCCTTGTCACGCGGGGCTCGGATTTTTCCCCATACAATAATATCGTCCACGATATATCGTACCCCGTTTAAACCTTGGAGCGCGTGCTATATTGCATTTTTGGAATACTTCTGAGACAGACCAAATGAAACTTTCGTAAATCAGAACGGATTCTCCAAGGGCGTTGCGCATCAGGGATACTGTATGGTCAACATGCAATGATAGTTCATAATCTTCCAGGCAACCAATATACTGTTACAGATTTTGGAAATTTATCTCAAATTTTCAGTGTATTAATGTCTATGTTTTTCGTGTTATTTTTGTCCTGTATTTCTTGGATTCTGTCGTTATTTGGACTGTTCGTGCCGCTACCGCTTGAGTGGCGAAAGGTTTTTGATTGACTCTGAACCTGATTTCCGGTTGATTTCCTCATACTAAATTTAGAAACTTCGTTAACCTTTATTTTTAAAATACCGAAGCCTGCGGTATACAGGCATTACTAAGAATTGATCCCGCTTTGCCGTTGACAACGTAGAACAATTGCTTTTGCACGCCTTCCTTTTGAATCAACCGCTCAATAAAATAACACTTTCCGAGCAATGGCAAGGGCTGAACTGCATTATATGCATAGATATTTGTTTGTGTTGGCTCTAATTTACTTCTTTTCCTAATACAAGCGAAAGTTTCACTATCAAGAATATTTGTTGCGGCTTCTGAATCTATGTAACTTCGATAGGGGCCCCAGTTATTGGTATTTGAATGTTGGTTATTTTTTATGATGAGACAACAAAAGTACACTCATCATCCGACGAATTAGAAGAGCTTTACGTTTGTTGTTGTGCAACGTATTCTGTCGTTCTTGCCATCTTTCGGGGGATATTTCCAGCTTCGGTAAACTTTAGCTAAATGATTGAGCTTTCTGCAAGCTGTACAAGTCTATACCCTTTGCAGGACAGAGACATATTTACGCACTTCTTTAAATTCATTACTACAATTATTTCGGCATTGACTTTGTTTGTGTGGTTTTGATACATATTTAGGAGGTCCTATCTTTCCTATAGTCTCCCTCGCAGACGTTCTTATAGCTCTAACCCTCACTAACTAACGTCTGCTGAAACTATCGAGCTGCATATTCCATTCCCTCCGATCGACCAATCACAGCGAACCTTCTACTTGATATTTCGGAAAGTGATTTACAGGAGGAATAAATAGTACATAAATATTTTTATATTTTGAAAGCTGTCTTGGGTTGAATTTTGGTCAAAATTGCACATAAATTGAATTTAAAGACATTGATACTTGTCCAGGAAATAAAATGCGCCATTAATTATCAGATTCGGATATTAATTAAAGATGTTCGGTTATATTTAAAACATGGCAGGATGACATACTCGAGGGCATACTGTATTAATCTAGTGGCGACAGCATCAAATGCAGAATATATTTCACTGAAATTTGACAGATATATATCTTTAAGACAACAGAACTCAGAAGACAGAAAATTTGATATAATACTGTGGCTTAGAAAGCGAAATATTAGTTTCAAAGTAAACTAATTTGCTGTTTGAGCAACGACTTCTGACTTTTGTCTTGAATGTATTTAAACACAACACAAATAAAACCCGAGAAAATTTTAATTGCGCCGATATGAATTTCCAGTTCGCTCAAACTTCGAAACGTTTATACATCCAGATGCATGTAACTAATTCGCTATACTTTTCTACATGCAACGAGAGCTTAGAATTTTTCGTCGAAGCCATGGCATATCGGAAGAATTTGATAGCAACATTTGGACATATCCTGATCTACTCGTTCTCGAGTTTCCCGATTGCTTGTTTGTCATTGTTAACAAAATTTAAAATTTCGCCTGTTGCATAGCTTTTGCGTTTTATATACGCCGGTTGTTTGCAGAACATGCGATATTATTAATGTCACAATATTATTCTACGTAAACATCGTGAAGTTCAAGGATATAGTTTCCAAAATATCTCCACGCAAGTAAACAAATTTCAACCCAAACAATATATTCCCATGTGCAAGGGCTTTCCCCAGTAGCTAAATCCTCAATAAGGCGGCTTCCAATTGGCTCTAACTCTTTTGAACACTGCCAGATGATTGGCTCCTAAACCAAAGGGAATAGAATGTGCAGCTCGTTTCAGCAGACGTTAGTTAGCGAGGGTTAGAGCTATAAGAACGCCTGCGAGGGAGACTATATCTTTCCCTTAGCTTCGTCATTTCCATAGTCTTTCACACGAATGATATTGATGCGAGAGCTATTTTGTCCCGAGATACTCAATTCTTGTTTTTCTGCTAATTCTCTCGCTCGCCAAATATAATGTACTCCATTAACATATGTTTTTTTATTGATATAAAGTCCTCTTCCTTCTACTAATAAAAGTTTTTTCCCCTCTCTCTGTATATATATGTAATGTTTTATTTCTATATAAATATCCCGTCACGTGACCTGTCCAGTCAATTCCAGTCTATCAACCTCATTACATTAAGTTGTACGCAGAGTAGAGGAGGCCATATGCTTGCAATGTTTCTTTATCTTTCGTGAATCCTTTGCTAACGGAGCAAATAGTGTGCTCAATTGTGACAAAAATTGCACCACAGAAGAAATATCTTGAGGTAAACGGCATTATTGGATATATTCCAGCCAGCTGGCTGCAATATATCCAATAATGCCAGTTAGTCGAAGTAATTCTTTCTTATAACTACTGTCCCGAATCAACAGTTAGTAATTATTTTCGGCTGGAAGATTACGTTGCTGCTTGTCAGGACTGTATGACAATGAACCTATCAGGCTAACGTTTCACTATCTCGCCATTTGTAAATTGTAAGGACATGCGTATAGAACAGATTTCATTTTAATTAATCGTCCTAAATTAAAATCTCCAGAAACGGAGGTCAATTATATAGTGTTCTAGTTTACATATTATCATTAATTAATGATAATGTTAGTTCAAAGAGCGTATTAAACCACAGTAAATAGACTAGCTATTAACTGTGACCAAACCGGACAAACATGGGAATAGAACTTATGATGTGTTCTGATAGTCCGATGCATGAATGTCACTTATGCCTGATCAATTTCAGAATGAGGATGTGAGGGGACTTTCTCACCTTGAGATTTTCACGTTATCGCGTGTACCTGTCAGGATGACGAAGTTACATTGTTGCTAATAATGCTGTGTGGACGCTGTATTATTTTTAATAATGCTGTGTGGGCGCTGCATTATTTTTAATAATGCTGTGTGTGTGTGTGTGTGCTATTTTAGCTCGTATAAACATTTACCCCTGGGAATTTCCCTGCAATCAAAAAAGATCGCTCCACACGCTGGTAATATTCAACAAATTTTCTCCAAGTACCGCAGGCTCGCATTCTCAGCGGACTTGCGGTGAAAAATTGAAACTTTTGCATTTTGCACAGAACTGTCCACTTTTTGTAAGATGTCCGCTGACAATACGAGCCCGCACGAGTGGGAGAAATGTTTGCTAAATTTGACCAACGTGCCCCGTTTTTCAGACGAATGCTATAAAGACGGGAGTCAAAAACAATGAACGAAGCGCCCGCGCGGACAAAGCGAACGTTAATGGAAAACGGCCTTAAAAGTTCTCGACATTCGCTGATGTCATGCAGGGAGAAAACAAAAGGTTTGATGAGGGTCAGTAATTATACAGGGAAAATATCCAGTCATGATACATCCCCTAAAATGTTGCAAAAATGGTAATATCATGTGGTTTGAAAACTAATGAATTCATCACTGTATCAAACCGCCACATGCACCTCTTAAGAACAAACGGTATCCGACTTAAAGTTGTGTGACTATATATTGATTGATTGATTGATTGACATCTTTATTTAAAACACGAGGTCCATTTCACAGGTTATGTTATGTGCTCTTCAATGGAGACGTGTACCTATACTAGTCGACTAATTACTAATAAAAAAAGTATCAAACTATTTACAAAAGTAACAAACTACACATGCAAAGAAACTAATATAAAAGAAATATTAAGATATTTTAGATTTAAACTCAGCGAGAGATTGAACTCTAGTGAGTTCGACGGGTATGTCATTCCATAGGGTAGCTCCTCTATAGGAAAAACTTTTCTTCAAGGATTCCGTTAAGGGTCTTGGTACAAAAAGTTTATGATTAGATCCACGCAAACTATGTTCGTGTATCATTGACGTGGAAGTAAATTTTCCAGACAAATAACTAGGAACCATATTATTAACAGTTTTGTACATAAAATTTTTGAACTGTTGGGTACGTCTGGTTTCAAGGTTGGTCCAATTCAATGATGTTAAAATATCTGATGACCGGATGTTATAATCAGATTCAGTAATAATTCTTGCGGCCCTGTTCTGTAATCGCTGTAACCTTTGTCCAAGACCCTTACCTAGGCTATCCCAGACAATACTACAATAATCAAAGTAAGGCTGTGCTAAAGAGTTATAGATCATGACAAGAGTTGACTGTGGGAGCAATGGTTTTAGTCTTCGTAGAACTCCAATCACCTTGGAGACTTTGGAGATTATAGTAGAAACATGATGCTCCCATGTCAAACTCTCGTCCAGTTTTAAACCTAAACACTTATAAGATCTAACTCTTTCAATTTTGTTTCCGGCGATAGCAATATTAAATTCTTCAGGAATAGTACTTAATTTTTGCCTGGATGCCATAAACATACATTTAGTTTTAACCGCATTCAGGCTTAGTTTATTCTGGTTAAGCCAGTTTTGGAGAGTTTTAAGGTCGTCATTTAGAACAGAAATCAACTTGTCAGGGTTGCTGTCCGCAAAAGTCAAGTTGGTATCATCAGCGAATAAACGCCCATCTGATACCAATTCACTATTAGGTAGGTCGTTTATATATATTAAAAACAGTAGTGGACCTAAGATAGATCCCTGAGGAACTCCACAGGTTACTTTACGAGTATCAAATCGTATGTTGTTAATAACTGTTATTTGAGTACGATCAGAAAGATAGTTTCTAAAAAGATCAATCGCTTTTTTGTTGAAACCGTAACAAGCTAACTTCGGTAGTAAAATGTTATGATCAATGGTATCAAAAGCCTTTTTTAAATCAATAAATAAGACAGCATTTATTAACCCACTGTCCATGTTAGTGTACCATTTATCAGTGACATCAAGCATAGCTGTTAACGTTGAGTGAAGAGGTCTAAATCCTGACTGTATGTCAGATAAAAGGTTGTTTTTGTTTAAAAAGGTATATGCTTGGTCAAAGACAACTTTTTCAAAAATTTTTGAAACTACTGGAAGGACTGAAATAGGCCTATAATTATTCAAATCTAGTTTTGAATCATGTTTATAAATTGCTGATACCCTGGCACACTTCCAGTCAGCGGGAATAATTCCCTTGCGAATTACTAGATTAATAATGTGAGTAAGTGAAACCACAGTAGTGAAATTAATTAGTTTTAATAAACGAACAGGAATGTTATCAAGATCGCTAGCCTTAGAAGTCGATAATTTATAAATTAGTCCATCTATTTGAGATGGAGTAACTTCATGTAATTCAAAAACTTCATTACATTGCGGAATGTTAGAAGAGGCCGCACCAGTTGTTGGAATTTGTGCTGCTAATTTAGGTCCGATTTCAGTGAAGTGCTTATTAAAAACATTGCTAATAGTTACTGGGTCAGTAATTTCGATTTCATCTTGCAAGATTTTTGGTATAGTAGTTGAATTTTTAGATTTAGAAAGAAGACTGTTGATACCATTCCAAGTTTCTTTAGTTCGACCTACGTTGAGTTGAAACAGAGAATTATAATATTGCTTTTTACTATCTCTAATTTTATAGTTAACTAGATTTTTAGCTGTTTTGAAATTGACCCAATCATTTTCATCATTAGTATAAACTGCTTTACGCTTCAATCGATCTCGTTCCCATATTAATTTCTTGATATCTACAGAGAGCCATGGGGCACAATTTTTCCTTATTCTTCTTTGTGAACGATTGCTCATATATTTTATCTGATGAAACCTCGCCCATAGATTTCACCTGCATGGCGAACTCTCGCCCATATATTTTATCTGCATGGCGAACTCTCGCCCGTATATTATATCTGGCGAACCCTCGCCGATGCACATAATTTTATCTGGCGAAAACTCGCCCCCATGTGTTATCTGGCGAACTCTGATACCCATATATTTATCAAGCGAACTCTTGCCCATATATTTGCTCTGGCAAACTGTCGCCCACATATGTTCTCCGGCGAACTCTCGCCCACATATTTTCTCTGGCAAACTCTCGCTCATATATTTTCTCTGGCGAACTCTCGCCCATATATTTTCTCTGGGAACTCTCGCCCATATCTTTCTCTGGCGAACTCTCGCCCATATATTTTCGCTGGCGAACTCTCGCCCATATATTTCTCTGGCGAACTCTCACCCATATATTTTCTCTGGCGAACTCTCGCCCATATATTTTCTCTGGCGAACTCTCGCCCATAGATTTTCTCTGGCGAACTCTCGCCCACATATGTTCTCCGGCGAACTCTCGCCCACATATTTTCTCTGGCAAACTCTCGCTCATATATGTTCTCTGGCGAACTCTCGCCCATATATTTCTCTGGCGAACTCTCGCCCACATATTTTCTCTGGCGAACTCTCACCCATATATGGTAGGTAATTAAAAAAACGATAAAACTGTATTTAGACATGCTTACTCCCTTAGCAAATGCAGATTTCAAAAGAGGGCGTGCAAATATGAAAAGGTACACAAATAAAGTAACATAACACACACTAATAATATAAATATCATATATAACAAAGAGTACAATCTACGAACTGAAATTAAACTAGCAAGCTCTCGCCCATATATTTCATCTGGCGAACTCTCGCCCACATTGTATCTAGCGAACTCCAGTCGCGCATATATTTGATCTGGCGAAGTCGCGCTCATATTTTCTAACGAACTCTCGCCCATATAAGTTATCTGGCGAACTCTCGCCCATACATGAGATCTAGGGAACTCTCACCCATATATTTTATCTGGCGAACTTGCGCCCATATCAGTTATCTGGCCAACTCTCGCCGATATTTAATCGGACAAAACTCTCGCACATTTGTAATAAACCTTTGAACCATCCCGTCGGAGGATGGAAAACAATATATATTACAGCGTCAGACTAGCCGACAAACGACCGGCGAATAATGGCGCATAGTAAAGTAGGAAACAGTGGTACGATATTAAAATCGTCCACGCCAGTGAAAACAGACAGAAAACAACAATATAAGCAATAATATACCTCCATCTCATCGGTCTGGGCATCAGAAGACACCACAGAACGCGGTACTGCTGGTGCATGAACATGCGGCGGTTGATCACGACCTACTGGAACTTGACCAGGCTGGGCATCTGGAAGAACTGCATCCTCACCCTCAAGTGGAAACTGGATCTCTGGCTCGGCCATGATTTTCGTGATCGTAAAAAAAAACTGCTTTAAGAAAGTTCGTCCTGCTCACTTATCCGCTGGAAAGAAACTGAGCTAGATTTGAGGATTTCTCCAATATTTATACTCCCCGTGTCGTAGCACACACGTGTGCTTGATCAACCAAGCATTATATGGTAAAATATCTCTTATTTATACTTCGCATATCATTATAAGGGTTGTGAATAGCTAGGCTATAGTGATTACCTTTAGTCTTTAATCAAATGGTTATTGGGTATTGTGTTTTCGTATGGTATGCGACGGGAGCGAATTGCATTGCATGATTGATTCATTCCGAGCTTCCGTAGTTTATTGCACTTGCTTGAGCGAAAGAGGACCACTGTGTTTGCCGTATGACCGAAGGGCATCTCGCAATACATAATTGCTTGCTTGCGACCGAGCACAAATCCTACTATGGATTTAGCAGTTGCCAATGGGTTTGGCGTATGAGAGAAGTTTCTCTCGCAATTGCATGATAGCTTGCGACCGAGCCCGAGTCGCTACTTAAATTAATTCAGATTTTAACCAACGTTGCCAATGTGTTTGACGTGTAAAAGAAGTGCATCTCGCAAGTGCATAATTTCTTGAGACCGAGCACGGGTATATCGCGACTGAATTTGGATTTTAAACAAAGTTGTCAATGTGTTTGACGTATGAGAGGGGTGCATCTCGCCATGCATGGTTGCTTGGGACCGCGCACGGGTAGCTGCCGGCATGATCAGTGTTTGCGACCGAGCACGGGTAGCTATTGCATTTGGATTTTCAACAAAATTGCCAATGTGTTTGGCGTATGAGAGAGGTGCATTTCGCAATGCGTGATTACTTGCAACCGAGCACGATTCGTTACTGAATTTGGTTTTAAGGCGCCGTGACCAACGTGTTTGGCGTATCAGCAATGTGCATCTTCCAATGCAGGTGTGCTTGAAACCCAGCATGATTAGCTCAGTGCATTTGGATTTAAGGCAATGTGGCCAATGACAATGTGTTTGGCGTATAGGAAAAGTGCATCTCGCAATTGTATGATTGCTTCTTCCGAGCACGAGTAGCTACTGAATTTGCCGGACTTTAAGGCAAAGTGGCCAATGAGTTTGGCGTATGGGCGAAGGGCATCTCGCAATTGTATGATTGCTTGTGACCGAGCACGAGTAGATATTGACTTGGGATTGAAAAACAGGCTAAGGGTTTCGCGAATGAGAGGCTTGCATTTTACAATACATAATTGCTTGGGACCAACCATGGCAGCCATTGAATTGGAATTTGGAAATCATTTGTCAATGAGTTTAGTGCATGCGCGGGAGCGGCGTCTCGCAGTTACGGAATTTGTTTAGTGGTCAGTTGCCCATATGTTTGGGCAAGCAGAGAAATGCATCTCTCAATAGACCCAATCCTTGGGATTGAGCACGAACATTGCACATGCAAGAGGTGCATCTCGCAATACATGATTGCTTGAGACCGAGCGCACGCGCTTACTGCATTTGGATTGGACAGACAAGGGCCAATGTTTTGGCGATTCAGAACAGCATCCCTTCCTTGCCATACGCGAATCACCCAATTCTTGGGCAATATATGTTTTTCGAGTCTGTATGAAAGTACTGATCTTGTGTTTGCGCTCGTTAGCTGGTTTTCGTTTGCATTTCTTGGGTTCTTTTTTCTTTTCTTGGCTGGTGGGGGTCAACTTTCCCAGGGCTATCTAAAGCTCTTTGTGTTCGACTCTAGCAGTTGTGCCGGGATTGTTGCCCTTTTCTGGTCCTTCCGGGGGGTGCTTTGGGGATTTACTTCTCTGTTCACCTTTCTCTCGCCACTCGCTAAACTTTGTTCCGTTAGCAGCTTCTGAGCGTCTTAAGAAGCGAGTCATTGGGTGGAAGTTTCTCCCGGGGACCAGACCTGTGGCATCAGTTCCGGGTTATTCTCTGCGTTCATTGTCGCTTGACCATGCTAGTCCACCTATCGCTTTTTACTTGCATTTTTTTTCATACTGTCCATTGCCGGCTTGTTTGCTTAATAGATTATAGTTTGGTTGTGTGTGTGGCACATGCAAATCGGCGGGGTTGTAGGGTATTTGAGAATGGGGGTTTGGTATATGAGAATGGTGGCTTGGGTATATGAGAATGGGAGTTTGGGTATATGAGAATTAATGGGGTTTGGTATATGAGAATGGGGGTTTGGGTATATGGGGGGAGATGTAGTGTTGGGAGCGAGTAGTAACTGAACTGCGGAGGAATTCATTTGGAAACAATGGACCTTCCTTTTCCCCAATGCTTAATCAGTGATCCGTGGCGGGATGGCCATTTGGATATTTTACTATTGAAATTGGCCAAACACGCCGCGGAAGCTGATTAACTAATGGCTTTGAGTAATTAACGTTGTTTTATGAATAAATAATGATGTACAATGCATAAAACCCTAGTTTACAGGTTGTAACTGCTCTTTCTGT